CGCTGAAAAGTGGGGCCAACTCTTAGACTATCTGAACAGGCTGTAAAGTGGGGCCGAACTCTTAGACTATCTGATCAGGCTGAAAAGTGGGGCCAAATCTTAGACTATCTGATCAGGCTTTAAAGTGGAAGGCCAAATCTTAGACTATCTGATCAGTCTGTAAAGTGGGGGCCAACTCTTAGACTATCTCATCAGGCTGTAAAGTGGGGCCAACTCTTAGACTATCTGATCAGGCTGTAAAGTGGGGCCAACTCTTAGACTATCTGATCAGGCTGAAAAGCGGGGCCAACTCTTAGACTATCTGATCACGCTGAAAAGTGGGGCTAACTCTTAGACTATCTGATCACGCTGAAAAGTGGGGCCAACTCTTAGACTATCTGATCAGGCTGAAAAGTGGGGCCAACTCTTAGACTATCTGATCAGGCTGTAAAGTGGGGCCAAATCTTAGACTATCTGATCAGGTTGAAAATGGGGCCAACTATTAGACTATCTGATCACGCTGAAAAATGGGGCCAACTCTTAGACTATCTGATCACGCTGAAAAGTGGAGCCAACTCTTAGACTATCTGATCAGACTGTAAAGTGGGGTTTGATCCTCACCGGCCCCAAAATACGGAGCGCGAAGTATTAATTATATTTTGTGGTTACGGAATGTGAATCATAGAACTTCAGCCAACACAGTCAGTCAGTTACATTAACTCGGCCAGATAAATACATAGACGAATGAATGGATAGATACATATTTTATCTAAAGTCGGATTGATACACAGAAGGCAGACAGATAGATATGTTAATAGATGTATGAATATGGAAAGATAGACAGATGTATGGATATAAAGAAAATTAAAACTTAACTGCTAAAATAGGAAATTTATAATTTCATAATTATTTGTGTTACATTTATTTTGTTATATTTCATAACTATTTTTGTTACATTTGTTTTGTTTTATTTTGTAATGATTTCTCTTAAGAAAAATTTGACAATGTTTGTGATTTTTGGTAAAGGTTTATATCAAAAAGTTGAATATGATATATTAAAACGATTGTGAATATTGAAATCACCAAGTCACATGAAAACAACCGCCGATATATAGTCGTAGTATAGCGGAATGTATCAAAACTATGATTTTACAATTTATTGGCGTTCGTTCATAGGTTGTGCGTCGGCGCCACCGAAAATTGGTTGCTTTTAGGTAAGGTTTGTAACAGTTGTTTCCGAGTAAAATAGTCATACACTCTTTTCATAAAAATGGGTTGAGATCGGACGTAAAATGTAGTTACAGATAATTCACTGATGATGTTACGTTACGTAAAATGTAGTTACAGATAATTCACTGATGATGTTACGTTACATAAAATATAGTTAAAGATAACTCACTGATGATGTTACTTTTAAGTAAGAGGTGATGTAAAATGTAGTTACATATAATTCACTGATGATGTTACTTTTATGTAGGAGGTGATGTAAAATGTAGTTACTGATAAATCACTGATGATGTTACGTTACATAAAATGTAGTTACATATAATTCACTGATGATGTTATTTATGTAAGAGATGAGGTAAAATATAGTTACAGATAATTCACTGATGATGTTATTTATGTAGGAGGTGAGGTAAAATATAGTTACATATAACTCACTGATGATGTTACGTTACGTAAAATGTAGTTACATATAATTCACTGATGTTGTTACGTTTATGTAGGAGGTGAGGTAAAATATAGTTACATATAATTCACTAAAGATGTTACGTTTATGTAATAGGTGATGTAAAATGTAGTTACAGATAATTCATTGATGATGTTACGTTGCGCCTCTAAGAAAGCCATTCTTTACCCACCCACCCCTCTTCCATCCCTCTAGATACCGTTCATATACTTTTCTAAAGTTGGTCTTCTTTTGTTGGATATGTCGTGGAAGCAGTTTGAGTTCTTATGACATGTTTCGCCTTCTTGGTTAGGTTGCGTTCTGTTGCCTAGGTTACATGAAAGACTTTTGTCATTGACCTTTGTGGGATCTCACCTTTTACAAGACGCCGCATTTTGTTTATCACGGCTGGGGTACGACTTAATGCAAATCTCTTTCTGGATTGTCCTGGAAACCCAAGCTGATTCATATTCCTTTGTTTCCTAATGCTTAAAGTGAATATCTAACGTAACATCATCAGTGAATAATATGTAACTAGATTTTACGTGAGTTCTCTCACCAATATGTAACTACATTTTACGTAACGTAACATCATCAGTGAGTTATCAGTAACTATATTTTACCTCACTTTCTAACTAAACGTTTTTGCGGACAGAAGCGAGTGTAAGTGATCCATATTCGCGACTTTTGTTTTTGAACAATATTGAGCACTTTGAAACTTCACTTAGTTGGTTTTCAACGATAAGGAATTGTAAATAGTCGAATATGCCGTAAAAGAAATACAGTTCAAGTTCACTGATTTCTTTATAACTATGCCCTCCTTCCCGCTGGGCCGTCTTACCCTACACTAGTACTATATAAAATTTCTATTATTGTTCTTCTGCACCCTTGCCCTAGATAATGCGAATATTGCACGACTATCCCGATGCATGTCGGGAGTATTTAAATTCATTACTAAATTCAGCGCCTTTTTAACCTACTTCGGTTTATTCAAATTTATAAGTAAACCGACTCCCCAACCCAAGAAGTAATTTATTTCAATACTTAAAAAAAGTATAAATTGAACCATTGTTTTAACTTGAAATGATATTTATCATAAGGAAAGACTCGTTTTAAAACATTTCACATTTTCACGATGTTCACCTGAATTAGTAAAAAAATCATTCAAATTTAAGGTGGCCGTCTTACCCAATCTTCCTCTACGTTGTGACACTCGACAAAGAATATGTAAACCTCGATAACTGTAATAAGTATTTTGCTGTTTTCTACTGGTTAATGTATTTATGATCAGCGCTAAATAATGTGTTAAGTGCAAGGTAGAGATCAGAAGAGCAGGCACTAAAGGTCAAGGTGAACTCTGGTTACTTTCAGACCAAAATTTTGGACCTTTGTACCATATAGATATACCGGCTTTATACGGAAACGAAATCAACAGGGTAAACAATTTACTAAGATGACTCTTCCAGTTATAGCTCTCGTTCAACCATTGC